TTCTTATGAATGCCAAATATTGGCAAAGCGAGTATTCCCTTTCAATACAATGCATCTAATTATTTTGTCTAGTCCGTTGGTGTCATCTAATTTTCGTCGACTTATTAAGTTAAGCTGCCATTATGTCGTTGTTAAATGACAATTTTACTTTATAACGTTTCGGAATTTAACAAAAATCTTGTGTTGTGGTGTTTTATACAGGAAGGTGGCTTCGGTATCTTTAATCACCGGACGCAACGCTACAGTTTGTATATTACATTATAAGTATTGTTCTGCCTTCTGTGAGCTAACAAATTTATGCAGCTTTTCTTACTCCACGTCACCAAAATACTGGCACACTAAATTATATGAAGACCGAGAAACAATTTATTTTTACATATTGGTAGATTATGAAAGTATTAATATATTCGTAAAAAATGCAATGGACATATCAAACTGAGCGGTGTAGCGTTGTGTTGTACATGTTTCGCGCCTTGTAAACGGTGGTAGGGCCACGCAGCAGCCTCGGCTGATGCACGAATGGGCAGGCCCGTCCGGGTAAGTACCACGACCCTACAGAATACCGGCGTAAAGTGGAAGTATGAGTATGACATATACTTTCGCGTTTCGTCTGGTGAGTGAGGTAGCAGGAGCCCAATTTTTAAAGGTTTTTTAGGTTGTCAACGCATCTGTAACCCTCGGTTGTAGCAGATGTCCATGGGCGGCGGTATTCACTTACCGTCAGCTCGTTTGGCAACTTTCACATTTAAATAAAATTCTTATTTTTTTCTGTACAAAGACTGAGAATTAATCTTCTTTCTCATTTTGTCTAAATTCTACCGAGCAATTATTTTTTTTACAAACTTGTATGGCGCAATTACAATTTAATGTTCATGATATCAACGGAAAGAAAATCTCAGCGCAAGCGCATCCAGCGCAAAAGTATAGCTTGTGAAATTGCAATTCCAATTCAACCCCCCTCTGCGACCATCAAGATAGAGTCGGGATCAATAAAATCATAATGTACAATAATTATGCGAGGCTGTAGGCAATGCAATTATCGACTATCGTACCTTTCCAATACGGAACGAATTCCTTCGAAAGGTAGGAGGAGGTAGTAATGTCTTTGAGTAATAAAATGGGAGGTATGGAGCAAATGTTTTCGCTCCTTACGGATTCACTGCTTATTTAAGGGGAGAATTATTGTTTAATAAATGTTAAATATTTAAAGACTTTGCGGCCGCGGAATGCGATCGTATTTCTTGGGTTAAGTGTCTAGTATTGTTGTGGTGCTTGGTGGAAGGTGCAGATGTTTTCAAGCAATCAATTGTGCGCTGAGCGATTAGAGAACTGTCTAGTTCGAATTTATAGCCAACATTACGATAAGTCGTTTATGTTTTCGATATGTGGTGTTTCCTTAAATCGATTAACAACAAAATTTAAACTACACGTTATACAGCGTGTCGTTACCATGGCGACAATAAATGAACACACGTCTAACGCTACTTGCCAATAATCATAAAAAAATATTAACGTTAAACAAAATCCATAATTAAAAAAAAATATTTTTCAAACAAACTAATTAAGTCAAAAAGGAACAAAATTTGTAACATCCTATACAACTCGCGCCACAGCGTCGCATTATAAGCCTTTCCTTCTAACAGTATGTTTTGTCTCTTTTAAATTCATTCAACCCATTCATATGCTTTGTGACCTTTACAAATGAACTTTACGTTACGCTTTCATAGGTAAGGGTGTTCTAAAATTCTTTGTTTTGGAAAATTTAATAACTCTGTAAATATTGATGTTTAAAGAATGTAAATGTTTAATACAACTTTAAAAAGTTATCCCCTATATGTGTGTTCATTTATTGTCGCGATGGTAACGACACGCTGTATAACGACGTTATACCCAGGAAATGAGATGCGCGAGAAAAAGCTCATTGCCGTTGCTCATTGGCTCAGAGGCTGTGGAAAGGGTCCACACATTCACTTACCTCGGTAGTGTCGGAAACTGGAGGAACCGAAGAGGACATCGCTTCGAGAGTCGCCAAGGCAAAAGCAACCTTCGCGCAGCTCCGTCCAGTGTGGCAATCGCGGAAATTGACTAGGAGACTAGTAAAGCTCAAAATATTCCGGTCCAACGTAATAACTGTGTTGCTGTACGGATGTGAGACGTGGATGGTTACCAAGGACATCTCGCGCCGGCTTCAGGTCGCCGTCAACCGCTGTCTTCGCCGTATTCTTGGTGTTTACTGGCCCGAGAAAATCTCCAATGAAGAACTGTGGAAACGCTGCGATGAGACTCCGATCGACCAGCAGATCAAACGCCGCAAGTGGAACTGGATCGGCCACACGCTCCGAAGGGACCCTGATCACATACCGAGGCAAGCCCTAGATTGGAATCCCCAAGGAAAGCGTAAGCGCGGCCGCCCTAAGCAAACCTGGCGGCGGACGATCATCGCGGAGGCGAAGAACATAGGGAAGACGTGGAGCGAACTGAAGCGTGAAGCTCAAGACCGAACGGGATGGCGACGAACTGTGGAACCCCTCTGCCCCATCTAGGGGAAACAGGACCATAAGTCAAGTTATATAACGACACTAATTCACGGTAAAAAAGTAAACTAACCTATACATGTCTCACTACTGGGCAAAGGCCTCCTCTGAACAGAGGGTATTAGGGCACAGTCCACCCCGACGCGACCCCACAGCTGCGGATTGGCGGACTTCACATATTATATTCGAAACATTTTCTTGTTATTATTTCGAAAATGTTTAGGTTTCCTCACGATGTTTTCCTTCACCGCGGAGAATGTGATAATGCAGCACTTCAAATTTCATGGGAATCAATACCAGGACTCAGGTTGCTCGAAATATTGAATTACACCCGAGTGCCCGGACTCGGAGCAAATGTGTTAATAAGTACTTATGATTAAAAGGTATTTCATTTTTAAGAATTACGTTGTACAGTCTACTTCGATATGTTTCATTTAAATATACTGTCAACAGATGGCATTATCATACATTCTTTATAAAAATTTTTTGAACGAAAGATTTTTTTATGAAAATATTAACTTCATCCTACTTGTCCCCTTTTGATCAATTGCGGTAAACAAAAGCTTTAATTTTTTTTTTTATGCGAAAAGTTGTCAAACGAGCAGACGGTTCACCTGATGTTAAGTGAATACCGCCGCCCATGGACATCTGCTACACTCGAGGGTTACAGATGCGTTCACAACCTTTTGAAAATTGGGCTCCGGCTACCTCACTCACCAGACGAAACGCGAAAGTATTTGTCATACTTCCACTTTACGCCGGTCTTCTGTGAGGTCGTGGTACTTACCCGGACGGGCCTGTCCATTCGCGCAGCAGCCGAGGCTGCTGCGTGGCCCTATATCTCAGAAATGGTGGCTCGTAAGAAAAAAAGTATTGATACATTTTTTATAGATAATTTTATGATCTACAATTTTTGTCTGAGGTACTTTTATGATAAAACTTACCGTTTTGCTGAAAATCGCGAAAAACTAATTTTTTTGACCTTTGACCTTGAACAAAATGTTTTCCTTACAGGGGAATGATGGGGAACTTCTAGACATTGTTTATAATTATGTTTTGAACAATTTCACAGAAATTCAGCTTGTTGGGACTTTATGTAACTTCGAATGTCTAAATTGACCGGACTAGGTCTTATATGAGATCGTGGTAAGTACCACGGAGTAAGTACCCGGGTAAGTACCATGAAGTAATGAAATAAAAATTTGATCATTATAACGAAAATGGTAAATAATCTTTCAAGCACAATTTTCGAATAATTATAGCCATCATTAATTATATCTCATAAATATATTATAACAAAGTATTTCGTTACATTTAATGATATATTTAACGAGTCAATAATTATCTATAGCCTTAATAGCATCTTTACTGCTAGACAATTTTAAACTGCACAAAGTAATGAGTTACAGCTGAAGAAAAACAGTTATAGTTCTTTTTCAAATGATGGTATCATTCTTAACAGTCGACCTACTACATTGTAATCGAGTTACCGTATTATTTGCAGTTTTAAATGTCACATTTCAACGTTGGTACACCTGCAAGCTGGCAGAAGTGCCGATAGTCGCGATATTTCCGTTCACACTACATACATTGCACGCTGTTACTGCGATATTTGCAACATATTGCGAGTATAAGCAGTAATGGTTACGGCGCATTTGAGAATCGCATCGACAAGTCATCGACCCGAGCCTTGACCACGGCAGTGAAAGTGGTTTAGTCAAGTGATTCAGACACGATCATAGCACGAGGTATAAGAACTTTTGTGAAAGAAGAATTGTTTATTATATATAAACACTCGCGAAGTATTAAGGCCTTTTATTTGTCGGTGTGTTTTGAAATACACTGAAGATATATGCGTCGATTGGTTTAAAAATTTAACTAACCTAGTCTACTGCTAATAATTATATCACTTACTTACCACACTTTTAATAATTATATCACTTCACCACAACAAACATTGATTTTTAGTTAATTTTAATATTGCATTATTCACATCTTTGAAGCCTCTTGAATCCTGAAAATGGTCTACAGCGATCTCTTGTAGATTTCGAAATGAAATTAGTTATATTTTAAACAATAAGATAACGAAATTGTAATTTTTCATATTATTGTGTAGTTTTTCATATTTTCACAACCTCTAATTTTATTTACCACAACTAAGAAGCTGTTACACAGGTGAACATATTGGCTATATAAAGAATAAAACTGTGAAAATAATTCTTATAATACTGTTTTATTACATAAAAATAAACAACAACAATTATTACACAATAGTCAACAACGATACAAACAAGCAACGAGCCACAAACAACAGAAAACAATATCGGCATAAGCACACAATAAATATCACAAAAACAAACTGGGTGAGGGAAACCGATTGATTTCCTTTCTTATATACAAACGGGACAAGCCCGGCCACTAGTCGGCGAATGGGCTTACAGGGTAAGCTTTGCATCGCTCGGCTTAGTGTTTGCCCCCCTTGTGGTGGTAGATGTGTTTGTACACCGGCACGTGGACTGGGTAAGGCTTGGGGATCGGCACCTCGACCTTCTTCTCCACCTCAACGGGGTATGGCTTCTCCACTTCGTACGGCACTGGCTTCTCCACCGTGTAGGGCACCGGCTTCTCCACCACCTGGGGCACAACCTGCAGCCAAAAAGGTGGGAGTATAGTTGGAGTTGCAGCTTAGCGTCTGTGATTCGGTAAACGATTGGATTCTCCCTTTCTTGTTATGATGGTTATTTGCAAAATTTGTGTAATAACCTTACCAAAAACAAGTATGAGATAAAGTTTTACACTGGCATTATATGAGTTTTGTTTAAAATTTAACTTAGATTTTATGTGATATTTTTAAAAATAACGTGTCAAAGAACAATTTAATTTCTTAACCTTACTTTCTTCAAACGTAATACCACCTACTGAATTCGCTACAATACATTTAATAGTCTTAAGACGTTGCTAAATGTTATACGTCACGGATAAAATGCGCGGGCTGTCAGATGCATTTTTTTAAGGCACACGCTCGACTGATCGCCGCTCTTACTTTCGATGCGGCCAGTTGCGTTGCATAACAATAATCAGCGCATTGACATGAATGGGGGCATTTATGTCACCGATTACAAGATTATTATCTGTGCACAAAAAAATTACGCCAACACAATGGCGGTGACGTAATCTGCGCAACACCCAGAGTCGCACGACATTAGTGTCTGTTGGAATTGGAAACTCGCTCAATTTCTCTTTAATGTCGCAGGGTAGTAGTTAGCGAAGAGGAAATTAATAGTTGATGCTCGTGAGTACTAGAGCATGTTTATAGTTTTTTGTTCTATTTGAAGACCCATTGTGTGTTCCAATATAATTTTCACTCTCTATAACTTTTTTGTTTTTCGGAATGTGCAACTTGATATGTAACAACAACCATGCGTTTGGCCCCTCATTCCATAAGGATGATGTTTGATGATTCTGTGGCGCAGTTGCCAAAGTACTGACTTCGGAGTCGGGGGTCGTGGGTTCGATTCCCACACGGGACAACTATTTGTGAGTTGTTTCGCATCTGGGTATTTGTCCGTGTGAAATTTATGTTTGTAAAACGTCCTTACAACACAGGATAATGTTATCCTAAGGTGAGGGCATTGTTTTAAAAAAAAAAAGATGTTTTAGGGTGTTTTAGGGCTTGTGTTGTGTTGTGATCCGGTGATAACATGAACTTGTGTGCAAATCGATTACATTTCTAAAAAGTACCCGATCGACACTGTATGGGCTGTAAAATTTAATCGAATGTCGTACCAGATGACTCGGTGGCGCCGTTGCTACCTTATTGGCTTCGGCTACGAGGCTCGCTGGTCCGATTCCCTTACGGGACAGGTATTTGTGTGACCCACAGATCATTTTTCAGAATGAAATTAGATGTTTGGTTCCCAACGAGGGTTGCCGACAGGCAAGCGGTCGGTTCCCCGCTAAAACCGCTTAAAACATGATTCACATGTTACGCCGACCCCATCTAGGTGGGAAAAGGGAAGGGATACCCGATGAAGGGTTCATTTCAACAGGAGCGTACCTTGTAGACTGGGACGTGTATCGGCTGCTCTACGGTGACGTGCACAGGGTAGGGCTGCGGGATGGGGATTTTGACGTACTGCGGCACCGACACGGCCACCGGGTGCGGTATGGGCACCCCGATCTTCTTCACCACCGTCACGTGGTAGGGCTTCGTGTGCTCCGTGTGCGAGTGGCCTTCGGGCTCCCATTCGTCAGAGGGGCGCGCTGCGGCGGCCGCTAGCAGGACCAGGACGGCTGTTGCTTTCTAGAACGTTATATGTAGGTCGTTTTTTTATGTGAGAAAGTGGCAAACGAGCTGGCGGTTCGCCTGATGTTAAGTGATGACCGCCGCCCATGGACGTTTACAACACCTTGCAGATGCGTTGCCAACTTTCAATAAAGTGGGTAAAAATCTCTATCTGGAATTCTAGATTCTGCTGGATCTCGAGATGTCTCTGTCGGCACGTTAAGGATAGAAGAAATTGTCATAACATCCGGCCAATAGCACTCGCGTACATAATAATATATTTTGTGCCGTAAATAAGTCTTACAACGTTCTTTAGTATCTACTTAATATGTTATTAACTTTTTTTGTAGCTGTGTTTAAGGAAGTAGGTACTCGATTATGAGAAAGAGTGTGAAAATAGAAATAAACGACTCCGCAGATCTTAAGAGCAAGGTAGTTATATAATAACTGCACACGGAAAGTGAACAAAATATTAATCAGAGCGGAGGAGACAGGTTTCGAATGAATAGAAGGGCGGGAAATATTTCCACTTCCTTTCACCGAGACATCGTCCATCACGTAAGTGTACATGTATATTAGTGCGACTTTATTAATGTTATTATGCTCTTTTCTATATTTATTATGGCATCAACAATAAGGCATAGACTAGCTGAGAGATATGAATACGTACATATTTAATACAAGTACGTATTTTTCACCCGTTTTGCATTTCGTATCGAATATTGTGATTCATCATCATCTGATCATCATCTGTTTGAGTCCACTGCTGAACATGATGATATATAAATGTTATTAGTATATAATATTAAGTGTTATGATTTATAACATAAAGTATACAAGTTAATATTAAAAAAGTTATGCTCTAAAAATTTTAGGAGATTCAAAATTTCTGGTTCGATATTAACATCTTATGTTAAACACTGTTTTACTTTAATTTGAAGAGTTTGCACTGAAAATTTCGATTAAGATATTGAACCAATATAAAATTGAGAGTGAAATGGAGAACCGTCACCGACACCGTCTCCTTCCTTTGGGCTTCCGTTTTAGTCACGTCAATTGCGATCTTATCACAAATAAATTACAAGAAACTTACGAATGCGATCATGTTGGCTGGTTTAGATGAAGTGAGTTGACTCGTTGGTAACGACTGATGCACTCTTCTGGCCTCACTTGCGTTTTATACTTGGTGAAATGTGCTCCGTGCCTTTCAATTCAGTGATAGGTCCCTCGTAACACGAGGCTCCGTCTGTTGTCTGCAGCGGCGGTACTTTCCTTTAAGCGCATTACAATGCTGGTTTTGTTTGCAACGAGAAAAGACGTTTTCGACTAAGCGTTCCATGGATTGGTACTTTGAGGTTGAGTCGCTTTGAAATGGTTTAGAGGTATTTCCGCGTAATGGGACGCGTTGGATTTTTTTGATTTTTAGCAGTATATGTCAATGATTTGTTTTATTAACGCACCCAGTTATATTGTAGGTGATAGAAAGTGTAGTTAATTAAGTTTTAGAGTTACAGTCTATTCTAGGTTCATTTTATATACTCGAGATTTCAATTAAAATTGGCCCCAATTTTTTTTTTTGCGCTAAATCAATGATGTCATTACCAGTGAGGTTATTCATTATATACATATACACGGAGCAAATTTACTTCCGAATATGACATAACATGTTATATAATATTTTTTAAAAGAAATATTTTCTTTCAATTAGCAATTGTATCATTTTGACGCAATTTGATATGAACTTGATAGCTCTTTTACTCGCATACTCATACTTTGTGTGTTTTTCTTCGAAGTTAGTTCCTAAGCACATTCTCAAGTGACGTTGGATTGAGGCAGAATCATATATAAATAAATATTTTAGGACTAATTTTTAGAGGAAGTTCTCTAGTCCCAAGCAACGCTCACACTATGGATACAACATAACTGATAAACATACCTTAATATACATTTCTTTTGTAACAAATATATATTATCTAATAATATAATTGTTCTCTATCTCCCTATTTTCAATACCTAAAGCGATAAAAACCATCGTTCGACCCATAATCGTCTTTTGCTACTTTTCTTATTCATACGTTTTTTCACTCGATATAAATTCAGATAAATAGACTTTACCGTCATTAGAAGTTCTATAAGCTTAATCGTATAAGCTGTAATATATACAATATTACAGCTCACGCTGTTGCGTGGCTCTACCTCAGTTTTAGTACCACCCTTAGTAAACTCTATAACAATTATATATTCATCGGCTATTTTCTAGCGCCTCTTCATTCGCTAGCTTCTAATGATCACTTCCGCTTTCTATGTCTCCCGGAACCGAAGCGAAGACTTGTTTAAGCTGGTATTAATACGCCAGGCGACGGGTGTCGCGAAGGCATTAATCGATTTCAGTATGTATGATATGGTTGACAGCCCTGGTGCATACAATTAACAATGGTGCATCGAACTCACAAAAGTTTGGAACCGGAACTCACATTAGTAGATCAGGCTTCGAAACTCGGGTATGTAGTATTTACTTGTAATTTCACTTTTTTAAATGGAACATGCTAAAGTTTCACGTAACAATTATTTTAACGTCACGTTAATTTAAAGATTATTTTTAGCTTAATATATAACACTAAGGCTCATTTATGAATGTCATGAGATTTAATTCGTACTATTTCCACAAATTTTAATACTAAATAAAACTGCTATAATTACAGGTTTAGATTATTTTATTTTCATTGTATTGGGCAAGATATAAATAAAATTAGGCTACTTCACTGCACAAAATGATAAATGATAAATCATAATAAGAGGTCCATCTAATATACCTTCTAGTACTACTACTAGCGCTCTTCTTCTTTTCCTCATTATAATTAACATTATAGATAAAAAGTAATTACGACATAAAAATATTAGGAATTTAATTCAATATTAGGAAGTTTTAGTTCAATATTAGGATTTATCCACCAAAATAGTTCACCGAGAGACGTAAGTATGCAAACCATAAAGGTATTTAATAAAGCAGTAGTCATTCAATTGTTTAATATATCGAAAATGAAATAATTTCATGGAAGCTTTCAATTTATTGTATTAGAAAGTCAATAAAGCTTATAATGTCGTTATGACTTGCATGTTGATTGAAACTCCGATGACTCCGTGGCGCAGTCGCCAAGGTATCGGCTTCGGCGTCCGGGCCCGTGGATTCGATTCCCACACGGGACAACTATTTGTGTGACCCACACATAGTTGTTTCGCATCTGGGTGTTTGTCCGCGTGAAATTTATGTATGTAAAACGTCCTTACAACACAGGATAATGTTATCCTAAAGTAAGGACAATATTTTTAAAGAAAAAAAAAAAACTCTGGTTCAGGCTTGGATACGGACTTGAACTGTAAAAGGACAATTCTATTATTCTATTTATTTAATTGTAAAACCCACTTAGAAAAAACGCTGAAACTCGGAAAACACTAGCAATCTATGAATACTCTATTAGTGTTAGAAGACTCGATTTTTTTAAACTCGATTTTTTTGCTTACTCACAGAGTAACGTGTATGATTACCGAAAATTTAATTAGATCTTGAAAAGTTTGAATAAGTGCGAATCTCAACATGAACTGAGAAGCTGAAATAGGTTGATAGTAATGTCTACGGAAAGGTACTTGGTATGTGAACATTTTCTTTAGACGATGAAAAGACAATACAATACGCAATGTCTTCGTAGTATTCGCAGAATACATTAGCGTTCAGTTATCTTCGCTTCCGAAGTTATTCCACGCAATAATAGCAGAGCTGACGATTTCTTATATTTACGCGAGTACATTATTATGTTGGAAGTGCTACACAATTTCTCCCATTTCATATTATTTTGCACGTTCACGAAGTAAAGTTTTGACAGCTTTAAGGCATTTCTCATCATCGCTGTGGGAGTCCGAATGTAGCTGAACCGGGCTATCGTCTGCCTTTCGATATATGATTTTAGTGTTAAACTGGTGTGCAGTGTTAGTGTATTTAGTGTAGTTAGTGCAGTGTGTTTAAAGTTTTATGATATTTGAATTAATTCAGATGAGCAGAGTAGGCTCACTTCTGAGGTAAATGGTTTTGAAACAACCATCATCCATTTTCCTTCACGTAGTGTTACATTTACCGACTTTAAAAGAGGGGAAGGTCCTACATCCGTAGCCACAGATTTGACGTAAAAGAGAAGACGCTACCAATCGTTCCATCGTTGTGTAACGAAATATAATAGTTATAAAATTTAATGCGACCAAAATATTTAACCGACCCATGTTGCGTCACGGAAGCGAGGTATTGTTGCATTTGGTTGAACAAAACGCGTAAGCGACGGCAATTCACGGCGCTTAAGAGTTTATGACCGCGAGAAAATCGTATGTTAAAAGTAATCTAGCGCTGTATGCTTGGGTAGATTGGTTAGATGACTTTTATCTTGTTTTAGTTCGCGCTGAAGCGGAATAAAGCTTAAACTGAACAAAAACCGGCCAATTGCGAGTTGAACTCTCGCACGGTGGGTTCCGTATGGCAAAAAAACTTTTTTATTATGTGTTTTAGGATTTTTTGTTATAGCGACAAGCAATATAGGTACATCATTTGTGAAATCAACTGTCTAACTATCACATTTGATCAGATACAGCCTGGTGGCAGGACAAAGGGTACCCTTTGGTTACGGAACCCTAAAAATCGAATAAGGCTTGTGTCCTCTAGGTAGCTTCTCTATTACGTTATATCACGATGTCCATAGCGTTCGGTTTTTCTGAATTCTTATCGACGTCTTCGTTAATGTAACATACGTAAGCTACTTATAATTGCGCGCTGCCGTCTATCGTACGAGCAAAACATTTCAACTGTCGATCGCCGCTGACGTAACGCAACACGCGTCCGGATGTAGGCGCAAGTGTAAGGCGTACAGCGATTTAAAATAACCAACCGTTTTAGTCAACGAGTCTGCAACAAATTATAATTGTAAATTAAAAAATTCTCTTGGAATATTACATATATGTTCCATGCTATTATGGGGGGGGGGGGGGGGGGAGCTAGGGTATGGTCTTGGTGGGAATCGCTGTAAGTGAGAGCAGCATTACCTATAAAGTGCCAAGAAACCATCTGCTATACTCGTGGCGGAGTACCATAAAGCAGAGCCTTAGCCAGTCCGAGTCATCCACGTCCCCGTCGTCCTCCCTGGGACCTGCTACAAGCGCGCAGTCGCGCGTACGCCACCCTAAGTTGCAGCTGAGCTAACGGATGCAGGGCGAAGAGCGAATATTCTGCGCCTTAAAACAGAACCGACTCACTAGGGAGGATACCCGAAACGAAACCGAGCATATCCGTAGGTTCTAAAGTGGCAGCCCCGCTATCGGATTAAGGCACAGTGGGCTAATCAATCGCTTGCCCGACAATGACAGATTCAAGAAACCGAAACAGTAGAAAACCGGACCGATCCTTTACCGACGACTTTTGGCATGAAAATACGGACACGAATTGCATTTTGGAATGTACGAACGCTTAGCGATGACAGTCGACTATTACAAGCAGAAGCAGTAGTACTGAGATACAACCTGCAAATACTAAGCGAAGTGAGAAGAAATGGTTTTGGTGAGCTGAGAACACCTGGCGGATTAACTTTGCTGTATTCGGGTAAGGAAAGTGTGGGAGATGTGCGCGAGTATGGCGTGGGGCTCCTCCTTTCTAATACAGCCAAGAAAAGTCTGCTGGACTGGAGACCAATCTCAGACCGGATCATGTACGCCCGTTTCAACTCAGGAGCTCGGAAAATATCGATTGTACAATGCTACGCCCCAACTAATGCATCGCTAGAGGATACCAAAGACTTCTACAATGCCCTTAATGCAACCCTTAGGAGTATAAAGAAACAAGATATCATCATCGTCATGGGGGACCTAAATGCAAAGGTTGGGAGTGATAACACTAACCGCGAGCGGCACATGGGAACACAGGGCCTTGGTGTATCTAACGAGAACGGGGATCGATTTATCGAGTTCTGTCAGAACCATGACTTAACCATCAGTGGAACTCTGTTTATTCATGGCAACCACCACAAGTACACGTGGAATTCACCGGATGGAATCACTAAAAACCAAATTGAT